TGCCTATGCAGGGGGTCGGACTCAATGATCTATTGAGGTCCCTTCCGACCCTAGCATCTATGAATCTATGAATCTATGAATGTTGTAGCAGATGTTTGATTTTTAGAATATAATTTTTTTTTTTCTGAGATGGCAAACCCCCTTACTGAAAGGAGTACTTCTGGGGGCAAGGGGTGGGACTTCTGGTGGCAAAGGTCAGGGGTTAGGGGTGGGACTTCCAGTCCCAAGATGGTAACCAGGGAGTGGGGCACTTTTCTAGCAGCAGGGTTACCCATGTGGCCCTTGGCAGCTTGCCAAAACTCATTAAGTGACCCTCCAGCCAAAATAATTGCCTGCCCCTGATATAGAGGAGGAGCCATGTCTGTGGCCCAGCGGGCGGCCATGGTGGCGTGGTGCTTCCACACTGGGTCCTGCCTGCTAGGCTGTTGAGGCTGTTGAGGTGGCTCCTGCCTGGAGCTGGTTCAGCCCAGCTGCAGCCCCATGCCCTGCTGTGGGTGCAGAAATCTGGAGGGTGGGGGGCACATGCCCCTCCTGCACCTCCTGATGCATTTCCTGTACCCACCCCTGCTTCCCCACACAGTCATCCCATTTCCCACACACCCACCCTCCTCCTCACCCACTGGGGGGTAGTAGGTCAGGAAGAAGGGGCACTGGCAGAGTCAGGGGCTGTGGGCAAAGATAAATTTGTGAGAGTGAGGGGCAGGGGCAAGGCATCGGCATATTAGGGCTGCTCAGTGCCACAAAGCAATGGCAGGGACATCTGTAGTTGAACACGTACCCTAGCGAGCAAATGGGGCAGGGAGAGCTCTGATTTTCCGTGATAAAAAAAATCAAAATCAAACGCCAAAAGATATACATATTTAGAATTCATTTTATTATAATGATTGAGGCACTAGTAGGTTTCCAGATTGCTTTGACATTGTAAATATATCAAGAAAACTTTGTGTTCAAGCAATGCCTCTATATATTGGTGTTTCATTTCTGTTGTGTAAAAATGCATATTTTAGGGTTCTTAATCAGAGAATTTTGGATATTTATAAAAAAAAAATTGGATTTTTTAAGAGAGACAGCTATGATCCCTGGTGATGAAATAAGATTTGGATCCAGATTTTCAAAGGTATTAGGCACCTAAAGATGGAGAAAAGCACACAGTGGACTTTTCATAGGAGTTAGGCACCTAGTTAGATTTTAAAAAATGCCTAAGCAGAATAGGTTTTTATCTACAGCTCTAGGTGATCCAATGTCCTAAGTTCCTTTTCATAATGGGCCTTGGCTCCTCAATCACTTTTGAAAATCTTACCCATGGTCTTTGTCATTTTGATTTGTAATTTCCTTAGTTATTTGTATTTTCAGGTGGGCTGCTTGGAAGTCTTATGATTTAATTTTCTTTAAGTTTCATCTTTAGGAACCATGAATTGATTTTTTCTTTCATTCAACATGCTTATTTCTTTGTCTTGTAGATATCTGATTAATTTTGTCCCTGGCAGGTATCAGGAAAAGCTCTATAAGGAATGGTCCCAGACAGTATCTGAAAAATCAGAGTACAACCTCACTCAGCCACTTATCAGACAAGATCAAGAGACCAAGTTGATTGCAGTCAATTTTGATCATCAGGTAAAACTTGATCTTGATTAATCCTACTGCAAGTATCTTTCTTTATGTGTGCACAATGCTTTATCACTTTATGCCACATTTTATTGGAGCTGTTATTTGATTCAATGCAGTTCTGTACTGGATCTGTGTTGTTCATGCAGCTTTCTCCATGAGAGACAACTTGGATATACTATCCCCTTTTGGGTCATGCCTCCTGTCATGCATCATCAGGTAGAATGAATCTTTACTGTAAGAATTTCTGTTGCCTAAGAAATCCTAATTAAAACCTGAGACAAAAGCCTTCATTATCACCAAGTTAAGATTGCCTAGTGTTAGTTTGTGTTCTTCCAGAAGGTTTACTTTAGCAAAACTCACATTTCTGAAAAACAAAGTGAAGAATTAAGGTACTGGCTCATGCGGCCTTAAATCTATCAGCTAGTGCAGGTAGCCACTGGAAATTATGAGAGCATTGCTGATCACTGACTGTGTTAAATATAGTTTTACTGAATGACATTTATAGAGTAGTTGAAACAGTTTAGCAGAATCAAGACTGTATGTAATATGAGGTGATCCACGAGGGCAATGACTCTGCTTTGCCCTTCTTTGTTAGGATACTGGTGCACATGTACTTTGAACAATGCAATGTAACTCATGTCACTGTAGTAGGCAGATTGTGTCCGTAGCACTGCACAGGGATCTCCTTGCTGTGGGAACTGTGAGCGGAAAGATGGGAAATGAATGTGGCCTGTGAATTTGATCCAGATAAGTGAAAGTACAGTATGAGATGGCATGAGGTGATGGGGTTGTCAAGAAGGGTTGAAGGAGATTTAAAGTGTAGCAGAAGTGAAGAGATGGTTCAGTGTTTGTTCAGTAAGTGTATGCAACTCCTGTTTTCTTAAAGTTCAATGTCAGAGTGACTGTATGTGTTTATATCTATATAGGGGCTTTGCTTAAAATGTTACTTATGTCTTCCCTGGTTTTCAGAAGTTTGAATTTTGCTGGACTTAGTGTTCTTGAAGGGCATATGATATCCCCCTGGCAATGTTAATTTTTGGTCAATATAAAGTGCTTTTATAATTTAATTTCCTGTTTATGTGTTCGCTTGCTTGTGTTAATGGAACAGAAACATTTCTTTTTACCTAGTGTTCACACCCATAGATGCAATTACCGTCTAAGTTTGCAGTTGAGGTGTTGCTCTGACCAGATTAAGATGCAGAATTCTATGCGACTTATAGAATCATAGAATTAGAGTTCATAGATTCATAGACGTTAGGGTCGGAAGGGACCTCAATAGATCATCGAGTCCGACCCCCCGCATAGGCAGGAAAGAGGGCTGGGACTAGATGACCCCAGCTAGATACTCATCTAACCTCCTCTTGAAGACCCCCAGGGTAGGGGAGAGCACCACCTCCCTTGGGAGCCCGTTCCAGACCTTGGCCACTCGAACTGTGAAGAAGTTCTTCCTAATGTCCAATCTAAATCTGCTCTCTGCTAGCTTGTGGCCACTATTTCTTGTAACCCCCGGGGGCGCCTTGATGAATAAA